GAAAGTTTTATTGCGAGATTGCAGCAGTTCAGCCACATCTTCAGGCTCCACTTCTAATTCTAGTTCTCTTGCCATTTCTACCACATCTGCAGTTACCACAGTAGTAACAAAGATCACTGATCACAGGTCACCATGACAAAGATAATAATAATGAAAAAGTTTGAAACATTGCAAGAATTACCAAAATGTGACACAGAGGCATGAAGTGAACAAATGCTGTTGGAAAAATGGCGCCAGTAGACTTGCTCATGCCAGGGTTGCCATGGTACAAACCTTCAATTTGTAAAATACTCAGTACCTGTGAAGCACAATGAAGCAGAGAGCAGTTAAATGAGGTCTGCCAGCATCTACGGAGAATACTCACCAAAAAGCTGAAATGTTATGGGAATCACTGCAAAAATGGTTGAAAGAAACATTCTAGAAATGATCACTGGAGTGTAAAGGGTCATCAGGACCGGCTGCTTTGTTCAAACTTAAAGGATGAATAAGGTGGATTTGGGTCTGTGGGGAGGGAATGGAAGGGCATTCCAGAAAACAATATGAACAAAATCACAAAGGAAAAATAATAGCAAGGCAGGTTCCAGGGACATGCCTGAGAATGAAGTCCCAAGTCATCAAGTTGGTTTTCAGACTGCTGCCTCCCTCCTCTGATAACCCAGCCGGTCTCCCCTTTTTCCATATGCTCTCCTAGTCTATCAGGCAGGTCTGATCTATGTCCCTTGAATAAGCCATGCTTTCTGTGATCCTTCATGTCCCAGGCTGATAGTCTGCAAACTTAGGAAAAGGTGGCGATGTTGACCACAATGGGAAACCAAGAAATGGGATGGTTTCAGGGGAAGGCGGAAGGAAGTTACTCATTTGGGGCAAGTGAAGTTTGAGATGACAATGAAATTTTCAAGTGGAAGATCCAGTGTACCTTTCTTCAACAACTCTTGGGTACCTGCTGTGTGCCGGGCACTGTGCTAGGCACAGGAGAAACAGCAAAAGAAGGCAGTCTATCCTCTAGCAGGAATAATAGATATTAAATATGTACTATTACATAGAAAATTAGAATTTAGCATATTTGGGGTGAGATGTAAGATTTAAATATCTCGATTAGGTAACCATGTATACCAATCATAATTGAAGCCAATCAACAAGCACTGTGCTAGGTGCTGTAAAGAAATAAAACATGGGTAAGACACTGTCCCAAGAGGAGCTTACAACTCACATGTGCCATCAACAGACAGTGTGGCATGATTACCTAGTTTACCAGGCAGAGTACTTTGTTACCAGGAACTGAAACCAACTCTAGCTAAATGAAGCAGAAAAGGAAACTGGGGAGCTCAGGGAATTGCCAGGAGGGCCAGAGAACCAGCAGGAGGTCTCACACTAGAGACAGAGCCCCAAATTACAAATCACCAGGTACCCCCACCCTACCTCTTACTGGTACGGGACACTGCCATTGGCGCCACTCCACCTGCGCCCTAGGTTTTGTCCTCTGACCCTCTGCTAGAGTCTTACCTATCCTCATCACCCCATCCCCCCTCATTCCTTCCGGGACCAAAGTCCAGGTGAGAGTAAAGATTGGCCGAGTCCAGCAGACATGCCCATGCTGTGGGCACAAAGAGGGCTGCCAAAGGGAATATCTGGGAAATTCAAATGCTACACTGGGAGGTTGCTCTATCTCCCCCTAGACTCGTAAGGTGGGGATTCCGAAACCCTAGAAAGGGGGTTTAGAGCCAGGAAAGTGAAAAAGAATGGCAAGCATCTACCACAGAAAGTATTCAGGACCCTTAGGAATAGCATACGATATGGTCCCAACTGCTTAGTTAAAAAAAAGAAGTTAAAAAAAAACCCAGAGATGAGCGCAAATGACATCAGGGAACAATGAGTACTTAAAGAATACACCAAAAATGGTGGCGGGGGGCTTCCCCGGTGGCGCAGTGGTTGGGAATCCGCCTGCCCATGCAGGGGACACGGGTTCAAGCACTGGTCCCGGTGGATCCCACGTGCTGCGGAGCAGCTGGGCCCGTGCGCCATGCACTCTGGAGCCCGCGAGCCACAACTCCTGAGCCTGCGTGCTGCGGCTGCTGGAGCCCGTGCTTGACTACAGGAGAGGCCACCAAATGAGAAGCCCGCCCACCGCCGCGAGGGGTAGCGCCGGCTCGCTGCGCTAGAGAGGGCCCGCGTGCAGCAACGAAGACCCAATGCAGCCAAAAATAAATAAGTAAACAATAAATTTTTTAAAAAGGTGGCAGGGAGCATCATCACAAGAGAGAGAAACACAGATCATAAGCCTCAGAAATGAAAGGCTTTGGAGGCCATGTGGATCACCCTTCCACCCACCGCAGGAACCACTGCTCCAACCAGATGAGGGAAGAGGAAGGCTTGGGGAGGTGTCAGCACGGGCTTCGCAGGATAACAATAAAAACACCATCCATACTAATGAGGCAGAATCTCACCTCTTCTATTTTTCCACTTATACAAATGGCACCACTGATTCTCCAGACTCATCTTTGATTCTCCTTCCTTCTCTACTTAGACGAGCTCTAAATTCAGGTGATTTTTGGCCCATTACAGGTATCTCCCCAGTGTTCCCTCTCCATTTCATTTTTGTGCCTAGATTCCCCAAACTGCCTCCTAGATGACCTTCCAGCCTTCCATTCGTCCTTTCAAATCATCCCCCATGTTACTATAAGATTTTTTTCAAAGCTGTTTTCACCAAGTTATTCAGCAGCTCAGACAACTATAATGACTCCCAACTGCCCACTGCATCAAATCCGAACTCATCTGCAGACACAAGCTTATTGGACCCACTAACTCATAGATTCTCTACGTGTATCATTCACTAACCATGAAGAGATAAATGAGGTCCATCATCTTCTAGTTAGTTTAAACCACTTGAGTCTATGATTCTACATGAGCAAAACCCCTATTTCTCGCAATTCTCTCATGGATCTTATCTTCTCTGCAGCTAGGCATGGCATGTTGAGACAAGGAATTCTAGAAAGTGTCATCTTTCCAAGGCGTGTAGGAGTTTACATCTCTAGATCTTCCACACTTCCTCAGGCTGTTGCCTAGATCTCTGCTTTACATCTTTTTTTTTTTTTTGCGGTACGCGGGCCTCTCACTGCCGTGGCCTCTCCCGTTGCAGAGCACAGGCTCCGGACGCGCAGGCTCAGCGGCCGTGGCTCACGGGCCCAGCCACTCCGCGGCATGTGGGGTCTTCCCGGACTGGGGCACGAACCCGCGTCCCCTGCAACGGCAGGCGGACGCTCAACCACTGCGCCACCAGGGAAGCCCTCTGCTTTACATCTTTACCTCACTGCTCATTACTTCTTTATATACAACCTTCTCCTCTCCCCTATGAGCACATTTTATTATTTTGCCTTCTGCCCTTCTCACACACTCCCACTCCTTTTCACTCCATGATGACAACTTGCTTTATTGATATGATTCTTGACCTAAAAAATAACACCAAGATAGTTCAGCCAATGTCTATGCCATTGGCAAGCCTACGATATAGGCAGAGGAAAAAGGGAGATGAAAAAGAAAGGAAGAAGGGCTTCCCTGGTGGCGCAGTGGTTGAGAGTCCGTCTGCCGATGCAGGGGACACGGGTTCGTGCCCCGGTCCGGGAAGACCCCACGTGCCGCGGAGCGGCTGGGCTCGTGAGCCATGGCCGCTAAGCCTGTGCGTCCGGAGCCTGTTGCTCCGCAACGGGAGAGGCCACATCAGTGAGAGGCCCGCGTACCGCCAAAAAAAAAAAAAAAAAATGGAAGAAGAAAAAGTAGTAGACCAAAGAAGTTGGGAAAGGCAAATAGTAGTAATCGCTACCAATATCAAGTGTTTACAGTGTGTCAGATACTTTCTATACAACCTCAAATCAGACTTGCAAGGTAGGTATTGCTATCTTCATTTTTAAAATGAGTAAATGGAGGGTTAAAGGACCCACCTGAGATTATACATCAAGTAGAGAGCAGAGACCAGAATGCATCCCAGGTGATTAGGCCCACCCCCTTGCAACTAAAGCATATGACCCCCATAACAAAGAGTAAGAAGAAAAGAATGCAAAGTGGAGACAGGTAGAGCCTCACCAACATTTGCTTCAAGTGCTACTCAAAAACAATAGCATCATTAGTTACCAACAATTATCTAGAAATATGCCATTAAGTTTTCGGCATGACAAAATTTAAGATTTTTCTCTTATCCATTTATATGCAAACTACTTTACTACGTGGACACACACACACAAATATACACACTCACACATGCACATCCTCAGTCAAAAAGCTTGTATTACAATTTACATCCTTCTCATCTTTACACTTGCGTCTGGGTTACGACTGTCCCTTTTTAGTTTTAAGCCATGTCAACTTTTTAAGATTCTCTTTATTTCTTTCTCTTTCGCCTTAATCATGCTTCTACCCCTCTTCCTTACATCACTTTTCTATCAGCCCCTCCTTTTCTCTTTTTATTTCTCATCTGCCTCATTACCTACACCTTTCTCTTACTTTGAGTGTTGCTGCATCTAGCAGGTTCCCAGTAGATATCTATTCTGAGCTCCATACTTCTCTCATGCCTGCCCCACCACCACCCTTTGTCTTTGCCTTCCTCGTCATTCCTCCTTCCCTACAGACAATTCCCACCCTGCTCCCTCTCAATCGCCCACGCCCCTTCCATTAAACCACCCTGCTTCCTCACAAACTCCAGCGGTCATCTCATCCACCTCTCACCCCTTTACCCGCCTTTCTCCCCCAAGGTTCCAAAGCGCGAGGACCTCATTGTCCTCCTCCCCCATCCTCCAACCAGCCCACAAGGCAGCCTTGTTACCATGACGACAGGGCTACTCAAAGCTGAAGTCAAGGACCTGGTTGCCATGGCTTCCGCTTCTCCACCTCCAGCCCCGCCCGCGCGCTCCGCAGCGTTGGCGCCTGCGCAGTACGCAAAGCCTTGGTTCTCTGAACCGCGGCGGACGGGGCGGGGCTTCAAGCGAGAAGGGAGGGAAGGAGGCAAAAGGATAAGAACGGGAGTGGAGCTGGCGCCTACGGTGGCCGAAGAGGGACGCGCAGAGCCGGAGGCTGCAGGATGGTAGGCCGTGCAAAGAGGGAGGGGAGGGGGAACCGAGGGGCGTGGGCTGCACCTGCAGGGGTCCTTGGGGCCGCCCTCGGTGTGTGCCGCTCTTTCTCCCTCCGGTCCTCAGAGGCCCTCACTTACCTGGGCGGGTGGGCTAGCCGGCCTCGGAAGGAAGACCAGCTGGAAATGGCTTTAGGGAGAAGGCGCGGAGAGGGGGCGCATTTGTGGGGAGAGAGGGAGGTGACTAGGGGGCAGCGGGACCGTCCGGAGCCAGGGGGAGCGCGCGGGTCGCGATCCAAGGGGTCCCAACCACTGCCGCAGGGAAGTCGCCCGAGGAATGGGGGCTCCGGGGCCTGTTGGCGGAGGGAGGCAGCGGGGGTCGCAGGTCACTGAGACCCTCTGTCCACGTGCAGCCCAGAGCAGCGGCGGCCGGCGGGAAGGGCGGTGTGTGCGAGGGGATAGTTTCCGGGTCCGAGGAGTGGACGTCCTGCCTCACCTAGAGGCGGGGGTGAGGTGGGGAAGCCAAGTGGGCTCGAGGTTTTGCTCTCGGGGACCCAGGCTTTGGCTTCCCGGTTCCGGTGCTCTTGGCTCTCCGGCCCCCACCCCATCCTCTTTCCGGAACTCGGGCCTTCCGTCTTCCTGCTCTCGGCCCACCCCCCATCGTAGCCGCACACGGCTCCTTTGCGCCCCTCTGTTGACCACCTGCCGCGCCAGCAGCGCTTCCCCTTCCCCGCCACCAAAAAACCCCCAGTTCTCTCGAGTTCTGATCCTTAGCCGTCTAAACTAGTGCTGTTCCGCACACCCAGAACTCCGGCCCTGGTAATGTACACGGAGAGAAGAGCTCCAGGGAGAGGGAGATGACTCCAGGATGTGGCCCGGACCCGCCCACCCCACCCCCCGAACTGGGAAGCTGTGATTGCCCGGGGTAGGGAGGGCTCTGCACTCCCCAGTCCACCCCCCACCCTACCCCCCGCGCTTGTTCCACAAACATTCCCTAGGCGACGAGCCACCCTGAATGGCTGTGTCCAAACTGAGGGACTGAAAGGGAAAGTAGTCACCTGGTATCTGGGAAGGTGTGGGCATCCAGCAGGAGGCACCCTAAAAGGAGGAAAAGAGGAATATGGCTGGCCAAATGCCTGGAGGGCCGAGGAGAGCAGAGGGTGGAATCCGGGGTTCCCAATACCATGTGCTAACGTGAAGAATACCCCTGAGCACAGGACTGGCACTGGAGGGCAGTGTGTTGGGGACATCAGCAAGGGTGTATGGCTAGGATGGGGTGGAGGATTGTGGTAGCTTCTTGAGAACAAAATACCTGATTTCAGCGTGGTGGTGGATAGAAAGAGCAGGAAAGAAAGCAGACGTCTCTGACATCAGCTATGGGCTGCTTGTCACCGCGATAGCATTTTACCCACCTTTGGAAAACAGGATTAAGAAACAGGAGGTCAGGAAATAATAAAAATGACACCTAATGTGTTGTTACAGTGCTCTCTACGTGTCAGGCACTGTTTCACGTATCAACTCCTTCAGTCCCACCTAACAACTCGGGAAAGTAGGTACTTTTATTATTTCCATCTTACACACCAAGAAACTGAAGCCCAGAGACATAAAGTAATTGCCCAAGGCAAATTACTCCACTACTAGAGCCAGGGTTTGAACCCAAATGACAGACTCAGAAGCTCTGACACCCCCTACAAGGAAAGGCACCTGCTGGTGTGAATAGCCAGAGTTGACAGCAAGGGCTGATGCTTTGAAGAAAGTAGGAGCTGTGAGTAGAGAACAGTTAGATGGGATGAGTTTGGGGCTGTGTATTTCTGGAGGAAACCAGCTCAGAGAACCAAATCTCTGACCCTTGCTTTGACTCCCCCCAACCCCCAGATGCGATTTATGCTGCTGTTCAGCCGGCAGGGGAAGCTGCGGCTACAAAAATGGTACCTGGCCACCTCAGACAAGGAGCGAAAGAAGATGGTTCGGGAGCTCATGCAGGTTGTTCTGGCTCGCAAGCCCAAGATGTGCAGCTTCCTGGAGTGGAGGGACCTCAAAGTTGTCTATAAGAGGTGACTCCCCACCTACTTTCAGACCTGCCTGGATCCTGCTTGATCGGGGTCTGGGATGGGTTCACCTGGCCAAGAAATAGGCAGTCCCTTAGGTCAGGAAGAGCTTAGAGCTAAGGACATCCGGAGGGCAGCGATGAACTCCAGCCGCCTTTACTTTCCAAATTCACCTTGAAGAAATTCTTTTTCCCTTTCGGCTTTGCTCAAGCCTGCCACCTACTTCACGCACCTACCTCTGTCCCGAAGGCCCCATCTTGTCTATTGCACACGTCCCTGGCAGCCTCATTCAACAGTCATAGATCCTGCACCACTTTCCTAACACACACATACACACACACACACACACACGTGCACCAACCCTTTCCAGTTCCTCCTCTGAGCAGGTGAATTCGTGGCTCAGGTTTTTGCTGAGTCAAACTGAACAGGTCAGAGGTCGAGAGGGAAAGAGCTTGCGTCTGTGAGAGGCACTAAGAGGCAGAGTGAGTTACTGTTTGCATACCCTGGGGCCACCCCGCCTGTGTCCAGTAGGGGCACAGACTGGGAATGGGGGGAAATGAGAGGTTTGGGCACAAAATGCCTGGGTCCCAAAGCAGCCCCAGCAGCCGTCCCAGCCATCCCTCCTGTGCCCCTGTCCTCAGATATGCCAGCCTCTACTTCTGCTGTGCCATCGAGGGCCAAGACAATGAGCTTATCACGCTGGAGCTGATCCACCGGTACGTGGAGCTCCTGGACAAATACTTTGGCAGCGTAAGTCTCCCCATCCACCCATTTCTATACGCAGCAATCCCCTCTTTTTACCAAACTCTGGGATCCTTCCGGTCTCTGCCCTGGAAGACTCAGGAGAGGGGAAGTTGGAACAGTGAGAACAGTAGTTAATCTCCCTCTTTAAGCCTTAAGCCTATTAGCCATGCCCCTTAATCAGCCCGGGGGAGGAGGGTGGGGACCAGAATCTGCCACTTAGTCAATCCATCTAGAGCTCAGCTCAAACTTCTCACACAAGGACAGAGGCCATGTTCAGATTTTTATCAGTGGTTCCTGACCTTGACTTTGCTTTGGAATCTTCTGGAGAGTTTTTAAAAAATAGCGATGCCTATGTCTCACCCCTGGAGATTCTGAATTAACTGATCTGGGCTATAGTCTGGGCACTGGCAGTGAGTTCAGATCTTAGGTGGGGAATAGTAATAACTCCATAATTTGTATCCCACTTAATAATTTACACAGTGCTTTCAGGTTCTCCTGTTTGCTCCTCATTCCATCCTATGAGTAGGTGTTGGTGTCTCCATTTTCAGTTGAGAAAACTGAGACTCAGAGAAATTAAATGACATGTAGAGTTAGCTGGTTAGTGTCACAATGCTGCTTGGAACTGAAGTCATTTACCCCATGATCCAGAATCTCCTTCCCTGCCCTGTCACAGTGCCTAGGGAGGGAAGCTAGCCCAGCCTCTGGTAGGAGCTGTGTCGCAGATTTGGGGGGAAGGTAACAGGAGTCAAGAGTAGACTAGAGCAACTAATATTTCATGATCACAGAGAAAGAGGCAAGAGAAGGAGAAGGAAAAGCCGAACCAAGGACTAAGGCCTAGGGGTTGGGAGGACATAGACCTGGGGCAAGAACCCAAGGTGGGCAGGAGTGGTCACAAAGGCCATGGAACCGTGATGAGAAAGAAGTGGGGTGGAGATGCACCTTGACACTCAGCTCTGCCTCCCCCCGCCTCCTCCCAGGTTTGCGAGCTGGACATCATCTTCAACTTTGAGAAGGCCTACTTCATCTTGGATGAGTTTTTGATGGGGGGCGACGTCCAGGACACCTCCAAGAAGAGTGTGCTGAAGGCTATCGAGCAGGCGGACCTGCTGCAGGAGGTACGGGCCGGGACGGTGAGGGGTAGGAGGAAGAGGACCAAGGCCAAGGGCGCCCTCCCTGCTCTGGACACCTTGCCTGCGGGCCCCAGCTGCCCCTTCCCACCCTCCCTGTGGCGTCTGGCCCCCAAGGCGCCTGGTTGGCCAGCTGGCCCTCAAGCCCTAACTGCTCGGGGTGGGAGGTGGTGGGGGTGGCGGACGGCCGCCTGTGCCAGTTCCCCGCTCCTCCTCCCAAGACCCAGGGTATCTCATCCCAGCCAAATCGCCTTTGTCCCACACTTCTCTTGGCATTTAGGGTTGCTTAGAGAATTGGAGAAGGGGCACATGATAGGTCATTCTTTCTTTCTTTTTTTAAAACACACACATACTCAAAGGCTCTGCTTCTCAGAAGCAAAATTTTGCTCTGGGGATTTGGGGGTTGGGGTTGAGGGCGCCTGGTTGTTGATTCTCCCTTCTATCCGGCACCCCCGCCCTCACGCCATTACTGCCTGCCCCCTCTCTGCTGTGCCACTGCTGAGCCTTGGTGCAGGGAGATGAGTCACCGGAACCTGCAATGATGAGCAAGCCGGCCTGAGCTGGCTCTGAGGAGGGGGAGAGATGGGGGGCGGTGGGGGGGGCTCATCCCTGCAGAAGGAGAAAGGGCAGAATCCAACTTGCCACCTCACTGGTCCAGCTCCCCCATCACACACACACACGCACACACACACACACACACACACACACATGCACACATACACACGTGCCCTGGCACTCACACACCCACCCTGTTGCTACTGCTCTGCTCAGACCCTAATGACTCATCTCTCTGCAGTCTGGTCCACCTTTCCTAAGGGACCTGATGCCAACTTCTTACTCCCTCCCCGCACCCAACCATCTGCCACCCCCAGCCCTGGGAAAGCCAGTTTCCCAGCCCCCAGTCCCAGTTTTACTCCCTCCCCTTCGGATAATAAGGCCGAGCCCCCTGCTTGCCAAGCTCCTGGCTTTGGGTTCCCTGGGTGGTGGTGGACTCAACGTGGACCCCACTCCTTGCCATGGTTGGCTCTGGGGGGTGCACCTGGGAGGCGCTCCTGGGAGGCTGGAGAGCTCCCCTGAAGGGTCCCCAGCTGTTCCACCCTTGGGCTCACGTTGGCTTCTCTCTTCCCTCCCCGTGTCTCTCTGTGCTTCCCCCTCTCTGTCTGTCCTCACGATTGCTGTCTTGCCCACCCTCCACTCCCTCACTCTGTCTGCCTCTCCTGGTGTCTCCACATCACCCTCTGTCTGTCTCTGCCTTAGGAGGATGAGTCGCCACGCAGTGTGCTGGAGGAGATGGGTCTGGCCTAGCCTCCGCCCGGGGCCGCCTGGAGATGTGGGGAGCTGGTGGAGAGGCAGGGCATCAGTGGCCCTTTTCTTGGTGGGACCCAGCTGCCCATCCTCTGCTGCCTCACCTTCTTTTGCAGTGAGCTGTGGGCTCAGGACCCTCAAACATTCCCTCCCTCCACCCCCTACCTCCTGTTTCCCCTTTTCCCACTGAAGGTTTTAGGAGCTAGGAGGCAGGAAAATGTGACCAAGTCGGGGGTGCTATTTGGCTTTCATCCCCTGCCTTTGAAGAACTAATGTCACCCCAAACTCCCCCCCACCCTTATAACTGTAAATATATAAATATGTCAGGTTAAAGGGAAAAGGTTTTCAGGGCTCTTCTCGCTGCCCCATAACCTACCTCCAGCCCTCCCCGCAGCCAGCCAGGGCAGCTTCTCTGCCTGGGAGGGGGACCTCCGTGTCTCCAGAGGGAAGTCCTTTTCCCTCATCTGTCTCCTCCCCTTCCTTCTTGGCTGCAGTGGGGCCTCCGTTCAGTTCCAGGGGAGGAGTAACATAGTTAATTTTTTTCTAACCTTGCTACTTTGAGGGAAGAGAGGGCTGGGGGAAGGGTAGGCTTTACAGAAGACTGGGCCCTGTCCCTCCTTCACTCTGAGTTCCCCGTGAAGCAGGAGCTAAGTGGGTGGGGTGGGGAAAGTGTCTGATTTTTTTTTTTCTTTTCCTCCAAAATAAAAGGAAAAGCACTTCTGGACTTTGCCTGGCTTAGGCTCTGTGAAGGAGGGCTGCTGCGATCAGTCAGGACAGGAAAGCAACACTGCCCGTTCCACTCATCCCTGGAGCTAGGGTTGCCAGATTTAAGGCCAAAAAAAAAAAAAAAAAAGGAAGATACCCAGTTCAATTTGTTATGGTAATGAATAATGTTTTTAGGATAAGTGTGTCCTGTGCAAATGTATTCATTGTTTATCTGAAATGCAAATTTGACTGAGTGTCCTGTATTTTACCTGGCACCTTCCTCCCCCAAAACAGATTTGTGACCTCAGTGACCGCTGACCAAGGTGCCTCCAGCTCTCTGAGCTGCCTTCAGACAGGGAGGAGCAACTCCTGGGGACGTGGTTTCACTCCTCTGAGGTTTCTTTGTGGTCATTCACCTGGTTTAGTTTCATTTGGGGAGGAGACTCAAGAGTTCAAGGATCTATCCCATCCTCTATGCTTAGAAAAGGCTTGAGAAGCAGTTACAAGCAGGATGTTTCCGAGGCCGCCAACCCCTCCTCCCCGTATGTCTTGTGAGGTACATAGGACCAGGGAATTTAGGGAGCAGTTAAGGGAGGTGGGTGGGTAAGGTAGAGCAGGGGTGGTGGGAGCCACCAGCACTGCCTAGGTGGCCCTGAGATCGTGCAAAGAAGGATTTACTAGGTGGCTCAGAGCTGCGGCACCTTATCCGCTCTGCATCCCTCTGCCAGGGCCTGGGGACCTGTGACTTTAACCCCCAAGCTGGAAGTGGAATTTAGGGTTTCCTAAAGGATATGCGCCTGTTCTACGCCCCCCCCCCCCACGCCGAATACGGTTGAAATAGGTTCTATCACTCAACCTTCGCTTTTGAGCAGGAGGAGATGGGTGTTGTGGATGGCGCTTCCCTCACCGCCCCTTGGGAAGGACCACGCAGGCCCAAGGGGACGGGTGAATAACCGAGAACAAAGTCCTAATAAAATAGTCACTTTTATTTCTTAGCAAAACTATTTCCTCCGTGAGGGGTATTTACAACAGATTTGGGAAAGAAGGGGTAAATTCACAGCGATCCGGAGAGGGTGGAGAGGCTCTTGGGAGGCCCAAAGGGAGGGAGACAGACATTTCTTCACACAGTTAACTGGAAATCCTTTTTCCGGTTTCAGACCGGGACATCCCGAGAGGGACTAGGTGGGGACGGGGCCCCGCGGGGGCAGGGAACTCGCACAAACTACCCGCCCCCCCGTGCTGGCCCCGAGACACCCGTGAGTGAGTTTGGGATTTCGGGCTTCCGACGCACGAAGAGGTCTGACAGGTCCCGGCGTAGCCCGGGGGCGGGGCGGCCCACGGGCAGAGGGGTGGACGGGGGCGGGGCTGGGCGGCGGTCGAGGGCGGGGCCGGGCGCATGCAAACACTGAGAGGGGAAAGGAGCGACACGGAGGGGGGTGGCGGCGCGCGCGGCGGCGCGCGGGGGCGGGGCCGGGGCTGGTCACGGGCGCCTGAGCAGCACGTGCTCGATGTAATTCTCCAGCTCCTCCTGCTCCTGCAGCCGGCGCTCCTCTGCCTCCGCCTGCTCCTGAGCGCGCCGCGCCTGGGCCTCCCTGTCGGGATAGTGGCTCGAAGGCGGTAGGGCGTGGTGGTAGTGGCGGCGGCGCGAGGCAGCGGGTGGCTGCAGTGTTCGCGGCCGGATGTAGTTGGGCAAAGGGTGGTAGGGCCCCGGGGGAAACACCTCGTCCTCCTCCCGATCCCAGGGCGGGAGCACCTCGTTCCAGTCGGGCAGCTCGTCCCGAGCCGGGGCGGGGGAGAGGGGCTGGGGCTGCGGGGAGCGGGCGTGAGTGGGGACGGGGGCGGCCCGGGGGGGCGGCACAGGCTCGGGAGGGGCGTTCTTCTTCCGCTTCCGCTTCTCTTCCACCTCCTCGATGATGCTGACCACGTCGTCCGCTGGCAGGTGGAGTTTGGTGGACAGCTCAATGAGGCTATCGATTGTCTGCGGGTCCATCTCTTCGTCGTCGTCGTCCTCCTCCCCGCCCTCCTCTGCCCCCTCGGCCTCCTTTCGTCGGTGGCCGGGCGTCTCCTCCTGGGAGCGCTTGTCTTCGGCTCCGGCTTCCCCGTCCTCCTCCTCGGCGAACAGTAGCGCGTTCTGTCGCGCCCTCTCCGCCTCCTCCGCCTCCGCCTCCGCCTCCGCCGCCTCTTCATCCTCTTCCCCCGCCCTCTCCTCCCCGCCGCGTCTCTCCTGCTCCGCCGCCTCCTGCCCCCTCTCGGTCTCTCGCTCCTCCTCCTGCTGCAGCCCCCGACCCCCCAGGCCGCGCTGCCGAGCCCCGCCCTGCAGCAAATACTGGAGCAGCAGGTCGGAGGCCGTGTGGCCTCCGCCTGCCGCCGCCCGGCTTCCACCTGCGCCAGCCCTTGCTGTAGAAGGCGCTCTCCCGCCTCAGAGCCGCCCAGGAGTGAGGTCTCCGGCCGGCGCGCCTTGGTAAAGGGAGCGCCCAGGCCTTGGTACGCCTTGGACAAGGGTGCCAGTGCCTCACCTAGGTGTGTTTTGGGGGAGGACACTCCTTCCTCGAACTGGTGGGCTTCGGGAAGGGGCCCGCTCTCGGGCATACGCGCCTGGAATTGCGGGGGAGCAGGCGGCGGCAGGGCCGCGCGCTCCGGGACGCGCGCCTGGAACTCTCCCCAGGAAGCCCGCCACACGCGCTCCGGCCCGGGGCGCTCCAGGTTGACTCGGGTCAGCGTGTGCGTGCGGGTTTCCGTCTCTGCTGCCGCCGTCTCTTGCTGGCGCTTGGCACTGCTCGGACTGAAATCTCGCAGTTCCTGAAGCAGGGAAGCTAGCGCCTCGAGCTCCTCGGAGGGGTCGGCCGCCTCGGGACCATTCTCCTGAGTCTGAGGGCGAGGCGGGGCCGCGGGCGCCTGGGTCTCTGGCCCTGGGAGACTGTGGGTCTGGCTGCGCACGGTCTCGGTCAGCAGAGCTTCTGCTGCTGCTTCCTCTGGCCGCTGCTGGGAGCCGCCAGGCGCTGGGGGCGAGGCCGGGCGGTCGAGTGCCTGCAGCAGCACCGCGGCCAGCGCCCGGGGATCCACGCCCTGGAAAAGCTCTCCCTCGTCCTGCGGCTCTGAATTCCTAGCGGCTCGGACCTCTGGGGCGCTAACATCCTTCGGCCCGAGCACTGCGTCCCCAGCTACCGGCTCTTTATGCTCAGAGCTGGGGAGAGGTGGCTGAGCCTCAGGGTGCCCCGGGGGCGCTGCTTCCAACCCCTTGGTCAGTAGAAGGAAGCAGAGGAGGACAGGAGCCGGCAACCTGAGCGATTTCATGACCGAAGGGCTGCCGGAGACTGTGAAAAAATAGAAGTGACCAAAGAAAGAGAGGGTTTCTGTAAGAATTTTCCGCTCTCTGATTTTATATTCCCTTCCCCCACCTTTAATCAGGAAAGCCGGGGCTTCCCTTATCCCCCTAACCTTACCCTGAAAAGGGACGTTTAGGAGCAAAGGAGGAAGATGTGCCGATCTCTGGAGTCGTGTAAATGGGAAAACGCCTGCAACCCTTGCTCCCCCGGTGCCTCCTCGCCCCCCTTCCCTGAGCCAGCTCACTGGCAGCGCCCACGTACTAAGCAGCAAGGATACGGGGAAAAAAAAAAAATCTCTGCTCCCTCCCCACAGGACTCCCCGGATGGTGCGTGGGCGACTTCAGCAGCAAGAGAAGAGCGGCGACTCCCCCATTTACCAGGGACCCTTCCCGGGGGCTCCCCGCTGTGTTTTCAACACTCCCAACTGGGGGAGAGAGAACCCTCCCTCACGCCCACGGCTGCTGAGCGTTTGAGGGACGGACAGCAGAGTATTTACCAGCTGGTGCCACGACGCGGGAGGTGGAGAGGAGGGTCGGGGCGGGGTGGGGACAGGGGAAGATCGGGACTCGTCCGCCTCGGCTCCGAGCGGTGGCTAGGATACGAGCGATGGTCGAGGTCTGGCGTCCAGTGGGCTGGGCTCAGCTGGGTCCGCGCGGCTCCGGGAGACTCGCTCGCTCAGGCTTCAGCACGCTGGACAGCGCCCGCGCCGCTACCGCCTTATAAAGAGGAGCGCGCGGGGTCACGTGGGAATCGCCCCGCCCCATTGACGTCAATGTTCATTCATGGGGAAGCGGGCGGGCGCCTAGAGGCGGGAGGCCGCCCAGCGATTGGAGGATGCGTGCCTCTCCCGGCCCGCGCCTGCGCGCTGCAGGCCTCGGTTGGAGGGGTGTGCGCTATCCTGGCACCAGGGAAATGAATGAATGAAGGAATGAATGAATGAAATGCTGAAGCGGGCGGGGCAGGGGGGCTATGAATGAATGAAGGAGGGACGAGGAGAAAAGGATGAATGAATGAATGGCAGAATGAATGGAAGGGTGGATTCAGAGAGGCTGCAAGGCGGGAGGGTGGGTTACAGAGCAACTTGCAGCGGCGGGAGCCCGACGAGCGGAATAGGGTGGGGGCTCTCCCAGCGTCTGACTGGGCCCCATAGGAGATCCACACTGGGAAGGGGGAAGAGAAGGATTCCCAAACTGAGGAGGGGGCCAGACTCCCCATTCCCCGACTGCACGGTGCGTGGGGAACACGCCCAAGGACGGCGTGAACCTGAGAGAGGAGGGATGGTTCTGCGCGCCTGCGGGCGCTGTCCGCGGATCTGCGGTGCGGGATGCGGGCTCTGGGCCGGGGCACATGGGTGGATCTTGAGGCTTGAGTGATCCTGTCGGAAAGGATCCGAGTTGGAAGAGATAGGGAAAAGATTGAGGATGTGTGTGCCTCTGTGTCGTGTCTGTTCATGGTCTGTGCGTGTCTCGAGAAAAAATGTGTGTTTGTCCTTCTGTCCAGCTGACTCTGTTGGCCCCTTTTCAGACCACCTCTCCCCACCACCCTCCTGCTTCCTCCCCTCTCGCTGCTACCCCCCAAAGGACGTTTGGAGGACGAGAGCAGACCAGGTGGGGAGGGGGGTGCGCAGGTGGGGGGGTGACTCAACTCCATCTCTCTCCATTGCTTAAAGGGAAGATTTAAACGCGTTGGAGGGGGGCGTGGAGGGTGGGAGTGCAACGTCAGAGATCGCCCCTCTCTGCCACCAGACCCCTCGTCCGCATCTCCTGCCAGAGGGGTTGGGATTGGGGGCTTGGACAGTTAGAGGTTCCGGGGGGATGGGGGGCGATGACGCACAGATTGCGCAAAGAGAATCCATCAGCGAGCCGGGTCCAGTGAAGGGAGACCAGCCGTGGGCGGGGGTGGGGGAGGACGGAAATGAGGAGGGGGACAGGGGAGAGGGGAGGGAGGCAAGGGGAGCCGCCACTGCAGAAATGAACGGGAGGGAGGGAGGCTGGAGGGGGGCTGCGGTGCAGGCAGAGAGCTGTGCGGGGGCGTGGGCAGGGAAACGGGGGAGTGGAATGACACATGCCAGACACACAAGGACTGCGGACACGGGTGCCTGTGGGCACACACAGGGCACCCGCGCCCTAAGACTCTGGAAACCGGGATCAGAGCTGTATGTCAGGCTCTCAGAGACTCTTTCAGAGCCAGTCCTCAACCCCTTCCTCATCTCTTCCTAGCACTGACCCTTATCCTCTCCTCTCTCAAACTCTCTCTCTCTCTCTCTCTCTCTCACACACACACACACACACACACACACAAACACACACACACACACACAAACAACACACGCTCACGTGCTTTCCCTCTATAGCCAGCAGTGGCTTCTCTGTTCCATCAGTGGCTCCACTTTCCCAGAAGAAAGCCCATCAGCTCTGCGGGGAAGGAGGTGGGGAGAAGAGAGAGAGGAAAGAGAAGAGATGGGGCGGGAGGGGGAGGCAGGCCGGCCGGCAGGCAGGCGTCTGGAACAGGTAAAGCATCAGGCTAAAGAGAACAAAAAAGGAGAACCAAGGTGACTGTGAAGACGCCAAAGAAGGAGAGGAGGGGGCAACAGACCTGAGACTGTGCCTCATCCCCTCCCCAGACTATCTAGGACATCCCTCTGCCCCTATGGGTTCCCCTCATTCGTCTTCCTCCTCAACCCACTCCCCTTTATCCTCCCTGCCTGGTTACCGAGAGCAGTGGAATGGGGGGGGGGGTCACGTTACCTTCCTGAGGAGGATGAATCAGAGAGAGATGGCTCAGACATCTGGTGGGGGGAGGGGAAGCCACCCAAGAGAGAAGGAAAGAGGGAGGGAGGGAGGCGAGGTGGTGGGGGGCAGCCTGAGAGGCTGATGGGGCTAAGAGACCAAGTATGAGATGAGGGAGATGGGCATCTAGAGAAATTGTTTGTGTTCCTGTGGGCTCGTATATGTGCACATGCATGTACATACGTGTGCATTGCGTTTGTGTATGTCCCGAGATTAGTGAAACATAGGGGGAAAGAAAAAGAAATGGAAACTGGGGGCCCAATTGTGTATTTAATCAGCTAGAGAGTGGGTGGGCATGGTAGTGTTCCGATTTAAATATGTAATTTTCTCTTCCAATCTGCGGAGCTGTGTTTTTGCCTGTTTCCAGGTGTCTCTGTAAGTGTGAGTGTGTGTGGGTCCTGATCCCTCTGAGTGCCTGTATACCTGTGCGGTTGGGAGTTTGAGTGCATCCAGTCTGGGTATCTGCTGGTGTCTGAAAATTGTGCCTGGCTTGGTGTGTCCATAATACGTGTGTCTTTGTGCACTTACCTGGGTCCTTCCATGTCAGTTGATATATCTTACAGGTTATGTGGACTGCTATGTGCTTTTGATCTTTCCTGCCCCTCCCCCACTTACCTTCACCTCTAGATTTCTGCGCAGAAAAGCCTCAGTATCCTAGCCACTCATCTGCAGCCCCCAAGTTCAAGTCTTGCCCCGCGTTTTTTAGAGTGTTCCCGTATTCCTGCATTCTTCCCCAACGCTTTCCTCCTCCACTCCGCCCAGAAGTCCAGGGGAGCTTCTCAGAAATCGACATCCCAAGAGTCTCAGTCAGTATGACATGGGGGAGGGGGCAGTGAGATGGAAGCCAGGGCAATAGATTTGGTGATTCCACAATCTGGATTGTGTCTGCATGGACTCTGAATCTCTGGGTCTGTTTCTGCCTCTCTCTATCCCAGTTCCCTGCCTGGGTCAGCTCATTCACACGCACCCCACCTCTCAAAAATGTGCTGTGCCCTTCACACCTGGCTGCCTCTAGGGGCTTCTGGAAAAGAGCTGGACTGGGGACAGGTTCCTGGGGTTTGGGAGAGGAGGGAGATGGCAGGAAAGAAAGAGGAATGAGAGACAGAGCTGGGAAAGGCAAAGCTGAGAAGGGGACCAGGAGGGGATGGATGCCTGGTGTTTGCTCTGAGATGTTTGTGTAAATCCGTCTCTTTATCTTTGTTTCTGAACCTCTCATACTCTCCAGGAGGGTAGTAAGAGAAGATGGGGTCCAACCAAGGAATGATCCAAGCTGAAGATTTGGAAAACCAAGGGAGGGGGCAGAGCACTGGGTCTTTTCCCTGAGAAGGTTTGGGAAAGAAAAAGAGGGCAGGGGCTTGGGGGTCCCCGCAGCTCCCCTCCCCTCTCTTCCTCCCTTCCCCGCAACCGGTGACTCACCTCTGCAGCCTTTCAATGCGTCAGCTATGGGGGGGACAGGCAGGGAGGGGCACTTTATGAGAAAGGCAGGGGTCTCCACCTTGAATTGAAAGAAAGTGCTGAAGAACCCCGTGGAAATGACCCCATTAGAACACATCATTGCCTATCCCCTGCCCACCCCAGTTCAGGAGGGTGGGGAGTCCTGGGAAGGGGACTGGGATAGGGCTACGGGCCACTGGTGGGTCTGGGAATGATGAGTAATAAAGGGGTGCTCACCCTGATTTTTAGTCCCAGGGTCCCATTCCTTCATACCCCCACCCACTCCTGGGTGGGGGAGGGGAGACCCAGCAAGCTGGGGGAGGGCAAAGCCGCAGAGATGAGTCACCAAGAAAGGAAAAGAGAAAGAGGAAAAGAGACAGAGATGAGGAGAGACACAGAGACAGCCACTGGAAAGACTGAGAAGGGAACACACACACACACACACACACACACACACACACACACACACACACCCCTGAAGGTGGTATCCACAAGCTAACAGGAGAAAGGAAATTTTGTACTTCCATAATCCTGAACCAGCCTCCTCCAGCATCCACCTGTCACACAAACACACACACAACACTATCATTCAGAGTTACACTGATAGCCTGAGACACACCCACTTACACAAACACAATGTCACACCTAGTCCAGCAGAGTCACCTGTCCAGGCACATGCTGAAGATGTGACCAGTGTAATGGAGGTTCAGGTTGAGAGCCCTCGATTCCTTTTACACAGGATGGTGGGAGGGCATAAAAGCCCTAAAGGGATGTAACTTCAAAAATCCAAGACTCACAGGCTATGCCTTACATACGCGACGATACACACAGTCCCCTGCTTCCCCATCCACACGTACATAGTAACCTATCAAGCGCCTCCTCGTCAAGAAGCCACTTGGAGTACCTGATTCTGGGGTACGCCAGGCCCGTAGCCCCGATTATATCCCACCCAGACACCCCCTGATTCGTACACACATGTGCAGAAACACAGACACACAAAGACGCCCATGGACACACTCACACGGACGGAAACCACCTTGCGCTGCCTTGCCCGCGTCCGCACGCGTCCTGGCGCCCCCGCGTGGTACTTTTCGGGATCGCAGTCTCCGCCGCTTCGGAGCTCGGCTCCCGCGGGGCGGCGCCCAGGCTCCCTCCACCTCTTCCCGCTCCTTGCGGTGCCCACCCAGGAATGGGGAGAAAGCAAGGGCGCTGGCCGCGAGAGAGCCGAGAGCTGGGAGTTAGATGCCTGGATCGTGGGAATGAAGCAGGCTGGTTCTGGATGCCAAGGGGAACTTGCGAGAGAGCAAGAATTTGGAGCAGCAGCAGACTCCCAGGTCCAGGGGAAAGCGAGGCCGGGGGCTAGTCCAAGCGCCGTGCCGCTGCCCGCCTCGGTTCTGAGCAATCAATTCTTTCTGCCGCTTGGCTGGTGTGGGGGGTAGGGGCGCGCAACGGCCAGCAGCCCTCCCCAGCTCCCCTCCAGGAAGTCATTAGCCCCAGTGCCACAGGGCTTAGAGATCCTCTCTGATACAGGCTGCTGGGGAAGGGGGAGAGGACAATGCAGCTCATCCCTCCCCACCGAGAAGAAGTGAAACAGACACAGAAGGTGGGCCAAGGGCCCGTTTTATTGCAATACAGCCGTGGTTGAAGTGACAGGGAGGAGGGCAGCTTGGTCAGGTGCAGGAGGCAGCCAAGCAAGGCACAGAAGCACAGCCGGAACGGGGGGAAAGAGGGGAGCAGCGGCTGTCTGCTTTGTCCACCTTCTTCCACCTCCTGGCGCCCTCCTCTGTCCATGTCTTTGATTCCATCCCCAGCGAACCCTGTGCTCGCTGTCCATTGTCCACCAAGAAGTTCCGGCTACAGTGAGGTTCTGAGGTATGCTCTGGGCTGGGGACACCTGGTTTCTAGTCTCTGCCAGGCTCCCAGCTATTGTGAGCCACTTGGAAGGCACTCGAGGCTTTCTGAGCCTCTCTCTCCTCCCTCTGCGGGAGATGTGAGGATCCCGTGTAGGAGACATCGCTGTGCAAATGCAGCTGTTACTACTTGCATTTAAATAGAAGACTGTCAAAGTCCACAAAAAGCATAAAGGAACAAGAGGATGGGAGGGGTGTCCAGAAATATCTGGAGGAGGGGGTTCCAGTCGCGCTAGAAGGCAGCCCCGGGTAGAAGCAGGAGACAGCCTCGCACCAAGCTGAGGGACCTGCCCTCCACTACACCAGGCTCTCCACCCAGAACCCTCTGGTTCACAGGCCTGCTCTGGGCCCCTGGTTGGGGGCATAGGGAAGGGAGCCTGCAACATAGCACCACTGTGCAAAGTTGGAGGAAACCCCAGTCAGAGAAGGCAGCCTCAGAAAAGTGCATCACCAGAGCGTAAGCAGGGGCCAAGTGGGGGTGGGGCATTATAAACCTATTTCCTTTACAGGTCCTTCTCCATATTACACACAGGACGGGTGATGAAGAGATCATGGAGGAGGGGAAGGGGGGGCAGACAACTGGACAACGGAGAACGAAGAGAGGTCCAGGCACGGGAGGCTGAGAGGACGGTGAAGAGAGCAGCAGAGGGCAAGCTCTGGGGGCCTGAGAGAGATCGGGAGTTACAAGATTAATACGTATCGGGCAACTGTGCTCCCGGCCGGGTATTGGGCGTTGCACACACTTCTGCCGGCTTCCATCCACGACGGGGCAGAAGGGAGAAGCCACAAAGGGCAGAGTACACTCCCAGGCTGGGGCACGGACAGGGAAAGGCTCTGAAGCTGTGAAGGAACCCATTCTTTGGCAGGGAAAGGGAATGGGTGGACAACAGAAGCGCGAGTGGCTCCCCCAAACCCGGCGGTTCAGATCAGGGTGTGGGCAACTGCGTTTGGGGGCGCTAGAGTCAAGATGGCAGACAGAGATGTAAGGGGAAAAGGGAAGGGAAGGATGGACAGTGGGTAAGTGTAGGCGGCAGAGCCGAGGACCGAGGGCAGGGGGAGGGGGCGGAGCTTGAAAACAGCAGGGGCGGGGCTTTGGGGGGACACGAGGAAGGGGGTGGGTCTAAAGCGCATCTTCTCTCCCCTCCGACTGGAGAGGCCTTAGATGTAGGCCTCCAGCAGGTATTGTTCGGTATAACCCTTGACCAGCTCGAGCCCCAAGCCAGCCTGGCAGAAATCAGCCAGCCTGGCAGAAATCAGCCAGCTGTAACCACAGCTGGGGCGCCAGGAAGAGCTGGCACATGACGTTGAGGTCGACGAGACGCGGGGCCTGGCGCTGCAGATGCCACAGAAGCTGGCTCTGAACCTGCGCGCCCCGTCGCTGCCGAAGGTGTAGATGCTGAGGTAGCGCCACGTGCCGTTGCCGCCAGGTGGGATGGGGAGGGGCGCGTGCGGGCGCGCGCGGCTGTCCACGCGCCACTCCAGGCCCTTGGCCGCCAGCAGGCTCAAGTTACTCTCGCTCGGCCGGTAGGGCTGCCAGTCCTGGATGATGGTCCCGCCCGGAAGCACGTCGCGCTGCACAGAGGGCGACAGCAGGGGAGGCGTGCTACGTCGCCGCCAGCCTCCGACACGGCCTCCGTGGGCAGCGGCGAGAAGGCGCCGGAGGCCCACAGAGCCGCCAGCCGCGCGCCCAGCCCCTCCAGCAGGGCCGACACGTTGAGCTGGACCAAAAGGATGCCCTGCGGGGGGCACGAGTGAGCACGGGGCGGGCAGCGGGAGGGCTGCGAGCCCGGCGCCTCTTGGCATCGTCACTCCCACATTCACACCCACGGGCTCCCACCTGGGCCCCTCGAGGGCCGACCGTGCGGGGCCGCGTGGAGTGGGGTATGTGAGAGCATGCAGGAACCAGGGGCAAGGCCTCCGAAAACCTGGATCCCCAAGGAGAGTGGAGATCAATGTGGAGTAGTCAGGGTCGTGGGGATGTGGACCCCAAGAGTGGAAGCGAGGGAAGCTGATCAGTCAGTAGGATGAGGGAGACGGAGGGGAAGGACAAAGGCTCAGATTAGGATGTTTGGGTCCCTGAAGAGAGGCGGGGACACTAAGTCGGGACGCCTGGGCTCCAGCCTCCTGGAGTAAGGATGCAGGATTTAAAGACTGGAAGTCGGGAGCTGTTTGACTTTCCCTGGGCTAAAGGGCCTGGGTAAGGACTGGGAGGCCCAGGGCAGGGCTCATGGGCGCCCCCACTCGGCAGAGCCGGCAGCGAAGGAGAGCCGGTGACTGGCTGCATGTAGGGTGACAACGCCCGGAGGCCCCTCGGGGACAGGCCCGCCCATCCGAGCTCCCTTGTCCTTCTCACCTGCTTGGTGATTAGGTGGTATTTCTTCAGCTCCCGGGACCCCAGCTGGTCGTCCCGGATGAGTCGTGCCACCTCGATCCCCGGGTGCCCTCGCTTGACCAAGCTGCGAGCAGAAGCGCTGCAGCATCCCAGCCACGCCCTTGCCGCACTCCCAGGGCGCCGCGCGCAGCCCATCCACCAGAGCCGTCTCCCCGGCATCGATCACGTGCACCGACCCCAGGGCGATCTGCGGACCGAGGCCATTAGGGGGCCCCCGCCCCGCCTTCGCCCCTGCCAGGGCTCTCCGTTCAAAGGGCTCGCCTCTTCCCACACGCTGAGCACTCTGTCGTCACCACCCCGGGCGCCAGACCCGGGGCCTGCCCAGGCAGCTCTCCTCAGCCCTTGGGTCTTGGATTCAAGAGCCCGCAGAAAGATCATTCGCGGGCGTCTCTTCCACCTCTTGAGATGCTCAGAACCCTGAGTATCAGGTCCTTGCCCACTCGCCGCGCCCCCTTTCTTTGGGTCCACTCCCAGGAGCCTGCTACTCCCAGCTTCCTCTTAGCTCCGCCCCGGAGCCCATCTCTTAGCTGCTCCTGCATTCAGGCCCTCTTGGTGCGAGAGTTCAGTCTACTCAGGGGTGCAGACCCCATTCTAGCTGCTCCCAACCCCAGACTACCCACTCTTGTCTGCTCCCCTCTTTCTGTGCTCCCTCCCCCAGAAACTCATCAAAGGAATTCTGAACTACAGAGGCTGTCAGGTTCCTCCGCTATTCCGAGTTCTACACATTTGCCACACACCCTCACTGGCTGGGCCCCTGGATCCACATGCCCTTCTCTCTCTCTTCTTTTCTTCTTTTTGGGAAATTTCTTCCTGTAATCCTTGCTTCATCTCCCACTCAGAGTTTCCTTTTTGGGTCAATGGCCTGTGGATCTGGTACCCCTTTGGCATCCAGCTCTTCTTTTTCCCAGAGACAGGGCGAAAGAGAAAGGCCCGTCCCCAAGTCCGGATGACTCCTCGTTTCCAGATCTCTCTCCTCCAGACCAACCAAATCAACCAATCAAATCCCCTCTTTTCTCTTTCAGCCAATTAGAATTGTCCACTCACATAACCTACATAAGCCTCAGTAACCAACATCCCAGGGGACACACATACCAGCTACTTTGAGGAGGGTGATTTGGGGATGATTAGACTTTTTTTTTTTTTTTTTTTTTTACAAGAACATGACCTAGGTTTAGGAGACGGGACAAGCAGGGGCACCAAGGGGTGGGTTAGGGATAATTTTAGCTTCCATATCACAAACGTGGCTTATGTAAGCACAGTGTGGTTCCAATACAAACAAGCTTCAAAACAAGGGCTCCATCTCCCTCTTTCTTTTCAGTCTAATTCTTAGGCTTAAGGCTCTCCCAGGTAAGCTGGGGTGAGGTAAGACAGCTCAGGCCAGTATCATCAGAGGGCAGGGAGACACACAGGCTCAGAGGATCTTAGAGCCCCTGCTATGGCCACTAGGGACCATCAGGTTCAACCCATTCCTTTCACAGAGAGGAAATCAATCAAGGCCCAAGATGGTTAAGATCTTGCCTAAGGTGAGTCAGCTTGGACAAAGCCGGGCTAAAAGTTAAATTTTCCTGGATCTCGGGCCAGTGGGGAGATCTCCGACCCCAGCCTGAAGAGCAAGGATAGGCATGACTGGGTCCTTGGCAGGAGTCAAAGTTTCCAAGTGCTAAGGGTTAAGCTGACTCAGAAGCAGAGATGAGATTGCGGGAGGAACCCCCACTGCCCTCTCCCCACCGTCAATAATTTCTATGCCAAAACTGAGCTCAGTCAGATTACTTGCACCAGGTTCTGGGGATGATGAGTCCCAGAGAGGAGCAGGTTAGCTTGTGGCTCCCATCTGGATCTCCAGACAACCTCATCAGCTGTTCATGGGTCCCTGGAACATACAAGCTGGTACTTCAGGGATATTCCAGCAATTCCCCACTGCCCCCATAAGGGGGCAGAATGTGAGCAACTTGTAGACCGGAACACATCCTACCAGGTGCAAACATTAGGCTCCATCTTCCCTCTTACTTTCAAGATGGGGAGACTATTGCCAAAGAGTGTGTCTGCATCTCAGATAAAGATGTGTGTAAGGCGAGGGGATTCCCAGGGTCACAGGAAAGAACGGGGAACTTGCTAATTCACCCTGCATCTTTTCTTCCCCGGCACTCTACTCCTATTCCCTTTGGGGCAGATGTAAAAGTTCTAAGGTCCTTCAACCCTGGAGGAGGTGGGATCTGGGAACAAAGCAGGTCAGGGGTAACAGGCCAAGCGAAAGCAGCCGGCTGGCCCCACAGTCCTTGCTCCACACTCTGATCCCTTCCCACCCTCCAACGTGGCTCCTTGAATTCTAACTCCCATTAGGTGTCTAGGCAGAGACAGAGGCAGCCCTGTGCCCCTGGGCACTATGGGAAATGTAGTCCAATCACCTCCTGGACCAAGCTCCAGGAAAGGGGGCAGCATTTCCTTATCATCCTTGTATCCTTTCTCTCAATCTCATAAATATGAATGATCCACTCTGGCGAGAGAATGATTGGAGTCATCGCTGGGCATGCCGGGAGCCCATCCCCCACCAAACACACCTGAAATATTGATGGCCCTGAGGTCGCAGCTTCTCTGAGCTGGAACACGGAGCAGAGGAAGCAGAGAGAGGAGAGGCGGAGTCAAAGAGACCGCAGCTACACAAAGCGCCCGAAGAAGAGAGCGAAAAGGACTGGAGCCGAGGCAGAAAGGAGACCAAGGCAACCTGGAGACGATGCGGGATGGGGGAGAGGCACGGCTACCAAGTCACAGACATGACACCTCGTGACACAGGGCACAGCAGATGCCAAACAAGTCCTAGCACGCGCCCCCTCCCCAAGGAGACCAGAAATAGAAAGCAGCTTGACACACCCCCTTCTCCCCGTGGTGTGCGGTGGGGAAAGGGGTCACGGGGAGGAGAAAATCAGCAGAGGCTGGAAGAGAACAGAGACTTGAGAGCAGAGGCAAGGGAGACAAGATGAAGTGAGGCAGGGGCAGGGGCAGCGGATGAGGAAGATGGACCAACGAACTGGGGAGAGGGGTTGCCTCAGAGGGCCACGATCATGGAGAAGGGGCGGCTGTATTGGAGGGTGGTCCCCGGTCTTTTGGGGAAGCAGTCGGGAGGGAGATCACGAGCGAAGCTGTGTACTAGGCAGGGGCCCCCCTGGGCACCAGTCCCACCAGACTGGGACAGGTGGGAGCCAAATGATGATGGGAGGCGGAGGGAAAGCGCCTCTGAACACCTGGGCGAAGTCGGGTCTCAAGTTATCTGGGACGCGGGGCTGGGATGGGTTGGGCGGTAGGGGGCGCAGAGGTTCTCTTCCCCTGAGGGGCGTGGCTTTCTGCTGCCCCCATCCCGCGGGGGAGGAGCATGCCAGCCCCCCGTCCCCAGGCCTGGCTGCCCCCCTACCTCCCTCAAGCCAGGGCCAGGGACTGGCTGCTGAGAAGCCGATCGGGGCCGGCCGCGCAGACAGCGAACGGTACCTAGAGCGGGGTCACCTCGGAGCTCCGAGGGTCAAATTCCGATGACGCGCGGGGACCCGGCCGCCGCCGTCCGGTCCCGACTCGGAGTTCCGATGCGAAGGCCGAGTCTGCTCAGTCCTGCACGCGGGCTCGGGCGCCCAGAGCTTCGGGATTCGCGCGGTACGCGCGGCCGCTGCTCTGCTCGGGCTCGGCCGAGGGGAGGAGACCCCAGTGATGCAGAGGAAACATGGCGCGGATCTGGAGCGGACTAGGCTGCGACCGGGGGCCGGCGGGCGCTGGGGGCAGGCGGTGGGGTGGCGGGGCGCCTGGGAAAGCGGAGTTGCCCCTGGGCGGTGAGGTGGGCGCTGCTGGGTGGCCTCTAGCCTTGCAGACGAGAACCCGCCCCTTGTCCCGGTGGGAGGCGGGACTGAGGGTGGGGAGGCGTCTTGAGCGTCGGTGGACGGGCCTGATTGCTGGCTTAGTTTTGGCCCCACGCCCGCAGCATCTCTGTGTTGAGTCCGGGAATACCCCCCACGCCCAGTCCCCCTTCTCCGGGAGCCACGCCCCTACCCCCCGCAACGTCAGCCCCATTCTCTGACCTCCGGCTGCGAGACAAGTAACAGCGGCTGGAAAGGGGACGCGGAGCCCAACACCCTGGGGACCTGGTCGGAGAAACTGATAGAGGAAACTGGAAACCCATGAAGATCAGGAAGGGTAGAGACACCAAGTGGCAGAAGCCAAGAGCTGAAAGGAGCAGAGCAAGGCCAAGACGGGTCAGACGGGCCACCACTCCCCGGGGGTCGCCGAGCAGCCTCACGCCCCCCTCCCCGCCCTCCGCACTGGCAGGCTCAGCTCCGCTCAGCCGCGGACAACTCAGACGCGGGCATCTCACCTGCCGTCAGGCAGCAAGGCCCCCGCGGGGCAGCACGCAGAGAGAAAGACTTCAATGTACACCTGGGGACACCCGAGTACAAGAACACGGACCTCTGTGCACACGGCTGGGCACCCGTGCTAACTCGGTGGGTGGACGAAGGGTGGGAGGGAGAGCGCAGTGCAGACCCGGAACCGGAGTGGCTGCAGCTCTGCTGTTGACTCTGAACAAGCTGGTGACCCAGACTCTTAACTCCTGGGGGCTCCCCACCCCATAAAATGAGACAAAAACACCTGCAGTTCTACCTGCAAGGAACCAGGAAAGGGATGGATGTGAACGTCCTTTAAAACCTGTAAAGTGCTGCGGAGGATGGGGCACCACCCCCTTGTCTCCACTCTCGTTCCTGCCCAGCTCCCATACCCCCCGTTTCCCACAGAAGTTGACCTCTCACCTACCTCATCCCAGTTTTATACTTTCCAAGGTAATCACTCCATAACCTGGTAATCCCACTGGCTGTGCTAATGTGAAAAGATGGAGGATCGTGTTCCTGGACTTCCACACACAAAGCCACCCCAAGAGTTAAAGGGGTCAGAGTCATCTCTTGACTTCAAGGCCAATAGGCCAATAAATAAGTCACTCAACCTTTTTTTAAAAATAAGACTTCCCCCCATTTCTGATTTTTTGAAAGTGCTAACACACTGTGCATCTCACAAAGCAGCAGTCAAGGTGGAATACATTCCAGTGTGGGAAAGGACCTCCAAAAGTTAAAGGTGTTGGAGGAAAAAGTCACTAGTGGCCCAAAGGAGATGTGATCACACCCCCGATTCCTTCTCTTTCACCAGAAGACTCCCCTCTGCCACCAGAAACGCTTGGATTGGTCCAACGTTCACCCACTAGTTTCCTCAACCAATCAGAATTGAAAGTTTCCCAAAGTTCCAGTTATTTCATGTCCAAGCTATAGGTGGTGTTGCATTCTTCCCTCAAAGGCTCAAATATGGTTGTCTTACTGAAATTTTATCAAATATTGATGTTTGACCTAAATCCAATC